AGTCTCTAGTGGCTGAGTGCCAGGCACCCAAGTCACTAAACGATGCTTTAGCTCAAATAGGAGTTACTCTAGAGGGTTTGTTTGCCTTATTTAGGGGTCAGCGGCATATTAATGCCCTAATGAGAGAGGAACTGGCAAGGCTGGTCAATCTCCACAAGACGGCCGGAAAGCTCTGCAACCGACCGGTTAAAAACTGCGAGGTACAGACCACGCCGCTCAAGAAAGTAGTTGAGAGAGGTAGCAATACGCCCAAGCGGTCGAGGGAAATTGTCTCCGAACAGAGGAAAACTCCCTCAAAAAAACCGAGGCCCAATAAAAGTGCAGCGAACCCAAATGAGCCAATGGCTCTGCGGGCTACAGCTGAAATCCAATCCAGGCAGATCGACATACAAACCCGAACAGCTGGACACTTGTTAATGGACGCAAGCCTATGCAAAAACGACCCAGAAGTGATGCAATCGCGATTTAAGGCGTGGGTGATTGCAGCTATGCGGACATGTTACGTGTAGTCAAGAGCGACCCAAATTTAAAGCATCTGAGCGGTGACGTTCAAGGCATTAGGAAGACAGCTAAGGGGGACCTTTTGTTGCAACTGAGTAGGAAGCCGGAGCATAGTGCTGAGGCTCTGCACGAAGCTGTAGGAAAGGCCTTTGGTGACCGAGCGGTAGCTAAAACATTTACCGAATCGGCTCAAATTGAGATTCGTGATCTAGATGAGTTAACGAGCAAAGAGGACCTCGGAGGCAATTAGGGTGGAGTTGAAGGATAGCTCACTCCCCATTGAGGCTATCAAATCGTTTCGACCAGCTTTTGGTGGACAGCAAAGATCTACGGTTGCTCTTCCAATTGGGAATCGGCTCGAGCTGTCCAAAATCAGAATAGGATGGGTAGTAGCCGTATCCGAGGCGTGGACCAGCCTAAACTATGTTTCAAGTGCCTCGATTATGGACATATTGCAGCCAACTGCGGCAGCGAATATAACTTAAAGGGTGCCTGTTTCAAGTGTGGAGAGATGGGTCACAGTGCAAAAGCTTGCAACAAGGCACCAAAATATAGCCTTTGCGTCCGTAAAGGCGAAAATCAGACGGACCACTCAGCAGGCAGCTTCAAGTGCCCATCCTACCGTGAAGCTGCACGTAAAATTAAATGTTAAGGTTTCTCCAGCTTAACTTAAATCATTGTGTTGCTGCCCAATATCTTCTAGAGCAGACCATAAGGGAAAAATGTATAGACGTAGCTTTTCTCAGTAAGCCTCATCACTGTAGGACCAGCTGCCATAGGACATGGTCAACAGACGCTAATGGCAAAGCTGTGTTGTGGGTATGTAGCAACTCAACTTTCGAATTTTAAGCCATTTAATGGGTTCGTACGTGGCCGATCGGTAACATATGGCTCTACAGCTACTACCTGGCTGCTCAGTGAACTCACAGCGGTGATTGACGAGCTTGCCGAGGATGCTAGGGGTCGGAAGGCCATTATAGCAGGAGATTTTAACTCATGGGCGTTAGAATGGGGCAGCCACACAACAAATGCCAGAGGACGTATCCGACTAAAGATCTTCGCGACAGTGGATGTTGCACTGCTCAACACTGGTCACGAATTCACCTACAGTCGGGCTGGATACGGATCTTTTGTCACTTCATCCTCTTTCGGGAAGCAACATAGAACCATAGCGATAGCTATACGGGCAGTGATCATACGGCACTTCTGTTCACAATAGGTGAGACACCTGCCAGGGCGTCAAGCTTGCGGAGAGAATCGTATCAGCTGAATACTTTTGATCCCGCAGACTTTTCAGCGGCAATTCAGTCTCTGTGCACAATTGGTAATGCTGAGGTCAGAGCATGCCAAATGGTAGCCCAAATTAAGAGTGCCTGCAATAGGAGGAATGCTACGTCGCAAGCAGTTGACGCGACAACATGAGCCTACGTATTGGTGGAATGCACAAATAGGTGACATTCGACGCAAATGCATCCAGGCAATAAGAAGCTATCAACGGGCTCGCGGTAGGTCTACGTTTTTTGAGAAACAATTGGCTTACCAGGCAGATAGAAGACAGTTGAAGAAGGCCATTCGGATAAGTAAAAGAGAATGCCTCTTAGAGTTGACCTTTGGGGCAGAGCATACAAGATAGTAGTTCAAAAACTATACGCAGGTAAACAGGATAAGCCTACGAATCGCTTGGAGCTTAAATCGATTGTAGAAACGCTCTTCCCAGAAAGATTAAGCTCCATTCCTGCCCCTGAGTTTGATTATGCTGATCAGGACTCAACGAGCACTCAAATTGTTTTAGTTACAGACGAAGAAAGCTTAGTAGCTCTTAGAGGTCCTAAATCTAACACAGCTCCAGGCCGGACGGGATCCCAAATCGTGCGTTAAAGCTAGCCCTCACCTTGCACCCTAGTACGTTTGCCGAATTATACAACGAATTTTCAGGAGACGTTCCCTGCAAAATGGAAGGCCCAGAACCTGGTATTGCTACCCAAGGCTGGCAAGCCACCGAAAGAGCCATCGTCGTATAAACCAATAGAGACAGATTGGTTTATACGACACCATGGGAAAGTTGTTTGAGACACTTATTTGCTCTAGACTGGAGACTTCCATTCCTAGCGCCGGCGGCATTTTACCTAATCAATTTGGTTTCTGAAAGGCCCGGTCAACAACTGATGCGCTAAAAAAAGTTGTTGGCCTGGCAACTTCCGCCATGCATCATCGCGACCCCGGTTGTACAGAATGCCTTTAACACAGCTAGTTGGGATATAATACTGGATGCGCTATCACAATATAATATCCCTAAATATCTAAAAGAGATAATAAAGAGCTACTTCAGAGGAAGAACACTGGTATACAGCACGAGTGAGGGTCCCCAAACTCATACAGTGTCAGCTGGAGTACCCAAGGCTCAGTGCTGGGGCCTCTCCTATGGAATATTATGTACGCAGGTGCGCACACCATTGGCTTTGCTGATGATGTAGCTGTCGTCGCCATAGGCAAGGAGCATAAAGATACTGAGGATATGTACATCGTATACGAAGCTGGCTGACAAGAGCTGGGCTCGAGCTAGCGGCTCACAAAACCGAAGTCGTCTTAGTCAGCAGTCGCAAAAGAGTGGAAACTGCTAATATAAAGATCGGCAGCGTCACCATTGCGTCAGAAAGGGCGATAAAGTATCTTGGCGTCATGATAGACACAAGATTAACTTTCCACGAGCACTTAGAATATGTGCATAAAAAGGCAGCTGATTCTTGTAGAGCTCTCTTAAGAATTATGCTTAACACGCGGGGACCAAAACAGCAAGGACGTCTCCTTCTAATGAGCGTCATTAGATCTGTCATCCTCTATGCTGCGATGGCAACGCCGAGCTACAGCCAGGGCATTTGCGCCACCTACAGACTATGCGCAATCAGAGTATGCTGCGCGTTCAGAACAGTCTCTGACGCCGCGGCGCTCGTCATAGCCAGCATGGTGCCTTTGGAGGACTTAGTCGCCGAAGCCGTGGAACGGAATGCACACGAGCCTCTACGACGCAACGATATCAGAGCGAACAGCATTGCACGATGGCAAGGAAGGTAGAGCAGCTCAACTAAAGAGCGGTGGACACATACTCTCATCCCGAAGCTTGAGCCATAGGTAAACCGCAAACACGGCGAGGCTAATTTTTATCTTTCACAGATTCTTTCGGGACATGGGTGTTTTCGGAGCTACTTAAAGCGCTTTGGCCACGAAGATACTGATGAATGCTCTGTGCGGACGAGGTCTGGTGGAGGACGCCAACCACGTCTATTCGAATGTAGACGCTTCCTAGAGGAGAGGCGTTGTCTGGACGAAGCAGTGGGCCGCTGCCTTAGAGCGGACAACATGGTCGACGTTATGCTGGAATCGGAGTCAGCTTGGAAACTTATAAGCACCTTCGCGACCACAATTATGATGGAGCTTCGCAGAATCGAGCGAAGACGAGCTGTCCCAGGCTAAGGGAGTGTAAAGTGCTTGCGAAGCAATGCTTCACGGCCGTAATTGACGAGGCGCGCTTATATTTAAGTAGCTGATTTTATTTCAATGGTTGTGGATTTGCCTATCAGATTTGTTAAAAAGTAGTACCTGATTAATTCCAATGGGCAAATTGGAATGCGATTTTCGATCCCTTGCACCTGCACATATACAGGTGAAATTTACCTTTTTAATAAGAAGCATATTTAAGTACATACATACATGTACTGGCTAAATGGACCCATTTTAAAGGGTGCATCTGTTAGATGTCATAAAAATCATGCAGTTAAGAAATACCTATAAAAGTAATGGGCAGTGCACTTATTACTTTAGTTAGTCAGCTACTTAAATATAAGCGCGTGTACCATGCATACATACAAACACATACACACACGCACATGTAAAGGCAGATAGGTATACAAATGCTTCTACAAGTGATATCCCATAATTGTGAGCACCGCATCCCATGCGTACACACAATCAAATGTATATACATACATACATATGTATGTATGTGAGCACTTGACAAGATCAACTAAATGCAAATGCTGGGATTTAAAATTGCTATAGGCAGCAAGAACTTGGCACACAAGCATGCAAATGCTCATAGTACATGTAGCATACTGTAAGTGTGTGTGTAGGCTCGTCGCGAAAACATTTTCATTATGCGCACCAACGCTTTCATACCCTTCCCACAAATAATAACGAAAACGCAAACATTCTGCACGAGCATGGCAAACGGCTTGGAGAGTTCGGAATACTCTTCACTCAGAAAGGATAACATGGGTTCTTGCTGCGAGGGAAACATACAGCGTAGAGAGATCTTTTGTTCAACAGTCGACCATCTAGGCCGAGCGCATGAAGCAAAATGATTTTGTGTTCTCATATTTTCGTTGCCTGAACCTAAAAGTGAGGAGCCGAACAAATACGAAGTGGTCTGGGAACTAATGCTCGACAAAAAGTGTGCAAAACGCTTAACACTACTTGTCCGGTCTATGTGTTCTGTGGTTAGTAGTATCTCCCAGTCGAGCAGTCTCGTCTGGAGCCTTCTTACTTGTTATTATTAGAACAAGATCAGAGGTGCCTCTGGCGCAACACTTATTTTAATACTTTTTTAAATTTCAAAGTTTTTATAGCTTGGTTCAACTTTACGTAGGCAGATAAGACACCTGTACGCGCTATTTTGCGAAAATTTGGTACGACGCTGCGGCAGCAGTTACTTTAAATTAACAATTTAGAAAAGATGCTCTCCACTCCTTCGTTGCTGGTTTAAAAAAGTCTCTTTAATCTCTAGTAGTTCATGCTCAACCGGAAGATCTACGCACAGCTTTAGCGCTAGCTCAAAAAGCTGAGCTCTGCAATGAATATTCACAATTCGCTGCAAGTTTCGCGAAAACGAACGATGAAGGAAATCAAAATTCATTTGCTCAACGTCACCCACGTTACCAGAATAATGACGGTAATACCAATCAGGGAAATTATTCTGAGACCAAAAGATCTCAAAACAGTAATAACAACATTGCAAACAGCCAACCAAAATCTCAAGCGGGCCCCCACGGAGGGCTTCAATAGGCCCTTAGGCAACAGCTCCAACCTCGATAACAATATCCATCAATGCCAACTACTCTGTTAATGATTATCGGTCCTTAGCTGAATATTATTGTCAAACATACGAAGATGATGTAACCAAAGACTCGTTTAATTCTTTAGGAATAGGTCCTTTCCTACGAAAATCAAAGAGGATATAGGGAACGGGCTAATTCTAAAATTAGTGTGAATCATGTCGAAAAACCTTTCCAGTGTAAATCTATTAACGGAAGACCTCAAATTTTATAAAAATGTCAGAATTGTTTTAGTTACGGACGAAGAAATCTTAGTAGCTCTCTGGTTGACAGGAGCTGGACTCGGCAGCGTCACCATCGCGTCAGTATATGGATGCTTTCGGAGCTACTTAATCATAACATTGAAATACGTGCATATGCCAAAGTACAAGTCTCTAGTATTTGAAATACACCTCTTACAAATATGTGGGGTGGATACAGGGATGGGGGTTAAATTACAGCAAAAATCGAAGTTACATAAAATACATATAAGATTGGAGACTAAAGGTGCAAGAGGTATAATTAAATACCTAGTTTTCGATAAACTTTTTAATCGATAACAACATATCGGGAGTCGTTATCGATTTTGGGTGAAAAACTCGATATTCGCGTGACATACATAAAATAAATCTCAAGTCTCGAGCTCATACATACGGACACTAACCATAGAACACATAGACCAGACATGTAGAACAAATTTTTTCAATGGCGAAAAAATGCGCTGAAGAGACCAGAAAACTTCGTATTTGCTCGGCTTGGCCTTTTGAGGCTCAAGCAGTGAAAATAAGGCACGACAAAATCAGTGCGCTGCGACCGCTGCCAAGAAATGCACACGTTCCCAAATGAAGTACGGTTATGCGCTCTTTTTCCTTTACTCACTCTCTCCCTCTCTTTATGCTCTCCCTCTATAGTCTCTAAAATAGCAGCAGCGCACAAAAATTAAAAATCGTTCGCAATAATTCAAGCTCTTTCCTTTTAAGTGAGGGTATACCGAAATCTTAAAAGCGTTTGCTAAGTGCATGCAAAATATTAGCATTTTCATTATTATTTCTAGGAAGGGTATGAAAGCGTTGAGACGCATAAAAAATATAATTTGGTGACAGGCATGCTCACATTAAAAATGCTTAGGCGACCACCATATACGCATACATTGTAAGTCCCTCGCTAGCTCTATTCTTGCTACCTGCGGCAAATCGAACATTAGAAAGGATTTGCCATGCTCATGCAAAATGTTAGCGATTTCATGATTATTTGTGGGAAAAGTATGAAAGCGTTGAGACGCATAATGAATATAATTTGTCAACGAGCATGCCTCTATTCTATCGATTCTATCATTTCGTTAATCGTCCGTTAAAGTCCCATGCACATGTATGAGCATATATGTATGTATGTGCCTGTATGCAAAGCTCTTGCTGCCTGTGGATTCTTGTAAGTGTGCATGTATGTGCATAATACGTGAATATTGGCTTGTGCCTGCCACGGGCTCTTAATTGTGCGATCGATTTTGGCTTAAATCTGCAGAGAGAGTGTTAACGACCTTTTATTATCACATCACTACTCCATTGTTAATTTATATACATGCGTTTTTATACCCTGAACCCATTTTCAATGGGAAATCAGGGTATAATGGTTTTGTTGAAATGTATGTAACAGGCAGAAGGAGGCGTGGCAGACCCCACAAAGTATATATATTCTTGGTCAGGGCGACGAGCTGAGTTGATTTGGCCCTGTCCGTCTGTCCGTCCGTCCGTCTGTCCGTCTGTCCGTATGTTTGAACGCGTCGATTTCCGAAGATATAAGAGCTAGAGACTTCAAATTTTTTTTTAAAATGTCCGTAATTACAGCGCGGATATCGAGTTTATCATTAAAAGTCGATAACTCATCCCGATCTTTTTTATCGATAAAAAAAACCTTATCGAAAACCAGTTATAAAATTATATCTTCTACACCTTTATTGCTAGTCTCCAAATTTTTAATGTATGCTTATATGCAATTTATACAATTTCGGTTTTTGTTAAAATTTACCCCCCACCCTTAAATTCACCCCCTCACCATCACTTTTGTAAAAAGCGTATTTCAAATACTAGAGACTTGTGCTTTGGCAAATACATGCATATCCATTTTGTTATCATAATCTGAAAGTTTCATGAAGATCGTACGTCCACAAATAAAGTTATTTAACAATTAAGTTCTCATAGTAAGCGCACACTGCAGCCCATGCGTGTTTATGCGTGGGTGCTTGTGTGTATGTGTGTGTGTGTGTGTGTATGCGTTTGTGTGTGTATGCGTGTGTGTGTGTGTATGTGTGTGTGTATGCGTGTGTGCGTATGTATGCCTGTGTGTGCGTGTGTGTGTGTGCGTATTTCTTGTGTAAGCTGAAAGACGCGAAAAATTATTGAAATAGCTATTGCCCCAAGGGTTCAGGGGATCTCGTAGTCGAGCAGTCTTACTTGTTTTTTTTACTATGGCTCAAACAAGTGTTAAGAAATCAACTGTTGGTGTGAAAAATATAAGTAAAATATATTCACGAGGAAATGGCGCGAAATGTATAATTGAAACGTGTGGTGCGAGTTATAGAAAAAGTTCAATTAACTTCCCGGTTAGATTATTCTCGTTTCCGTCAAATGAAGTTTATGCAAATAAGTGGATCGAAGCATGCAATTTACCGAATAATTTCGACCGAAAAAATATGTCGCAAGCATTTCGAACGGTGGTAAACGTCATTTAAGACTTAATGCAGTGCCAACTATACATTTGTGCGACCCAAATTTCCTTTCAAACAGTGTTAGTGTTCACGCATGAACATATGAATATACGAAGATCGTATACATGCCTCCGACGCACTCTACGACTAGCAGGTAGTGCGCTGGGAAAAGATAAGGGTCACATGTACGGACTGTATAAATAGACAAATGGACACCAACCCTTGCAACCCCAGAGTCAGATATGTAAGAGACAAACACTGAGCCTTACAACCTCAGCGATAGGATAAGAATAGCTAATAGACCCACGTGGAGCCTTACAAACTCAGCGATAAGATAAGAATATGTCATAGACCAATACTGAGCCTTACACACTCAGCAATAGACGCACTAGATTTAAGGGTTGAAATTATGCATGAGTCTGGGTATATAAACCCAGGCTCAGAAGAATAAAGATCAATACGAGACTAAACACCATCATAGTCAAGTGTATTCGTTCAGTTAGTGGCTCAGAAGAATAAAGATCAATACGAGACTAAACACCATCATAGTCAAGTGTATTCGTTCAGTTAGTGACTTCAATGATGATATTTATTCATTAGACTTTCAGGAAGAGGATATTACTCCTTATAGATACAAAAAGAATAATTTAGATATGGAAAAGAATAATAATAATAATTTAGATGATTTCGTTAACTCATTTGCCACTGGACAGCAAAATAAAATCGCTCAGATTGAAAGTGACGAGGAAGTAGATTTGTGAAAATCTTTTGAACTTTGATAACAATATAAAAATTGTGTATATCAATTGTGTCAAGATTTAAGCGTTGCAACGCTTAACGCGCTGGTAGGACTTCTTTTTGTTCAAATTGTTTAAAAAGAGAGCAAAATGAGGTATTTTATAGGAAAAATATTATGAGATGGGAGTAGACCATAAAAAGCACAGAAAGAATTGCTTAACTTAAAGAAAAGATATTTAGCTTTAAAAAATTGTTCTAGATATAGAAAATTTTCTTATAGAATTATAAAGATAAACAAGTAAGAACGTTGCAGTCGTGCGTTTCCGACAGCGGAACACTCATTCACATCCCATCAACAATTTAGTAGTTAAGTTTCCCTCTAATACTGTAGAAAATAGTTTTTTTTTTCGATTTGCCACGCCCCTACTGGGCGTAGACACCTCATTTTTGGTCAGTTCTTAGAACGAGATAGCGGTACCCTAATTGCAAAGTTTGAATGCTTACGCACAAAAATGTGAAAATTGCAGGGGATTTTTCAATATGCCACGCCCCTAAAGGGGCGTAAAAATCATTTTTGGGTTATCGATAGAGGAGGTTACTGGTAACTGAACTATCTAAATTTAAAGCTTCTAGCTATTATACTTTAGGAGATATAAACTTTTGCGGTTTGCCGCGCCCCCTGTGGGCGGACATATATCCGACAAAACTTTTTGGTCTTGGGTGATCAGCCTAAATATATATACAATATTTGAGGTCTCTGGCATCAATAGTGTCCAAAATATAGCAGAAGACTTTATAGAATCATAACATATATGATTTTCCGATTTGCCACGCCCCTAGTGGGCGGATCGGGCAAATTTTACGAGTATGTGCTCCAAATTTCAAACTTCTAGCTTCAATAGCGCCGAAATAGATTGCGTTCATACGGACAGACGGACGGACAGCAAGACGGACATTGCACAAAACCAATATACGAATTCACTTTCGTGAATGAGTATAAAAAGCATGTTAATGTCTTCACGACAATAAACAATTTACCGTATGTTTCTTAACAGTCAAAAGTGCTTTGTACAATGCTTTTAAAAAATAATCATGTTTATAATTGTTAATTCCAGATCCCTTTAACAAGAATTGCTCCTCCCGCAACACACGTTATGTCATTAACAGCACTCTGTTCTCCTACTGGTTCGCTGTACTTAGCGCCCCGCTGTGTACTTCGTCTCCCTTCCACTGATCACTTGCCTCTCCTGGTATTGACACTTGTGTTTTATATATGATATCTTTACTAATGCTATACGAGCAACACAGCTTTAATCTAAGAAATAAAGACGACGAAATTACAAGCCGGTCTTTGTACTTATCGGCGACGCCACCACTCCAACATTTGGTCCTTTGAGCCGGATATCATCCACCTCCACATACACATCAGCATTCCATCGGCCGTCGAGATACATAAGTGCGTAAAGTAGTACATACATACACATATATATACATACATACACTGGCACTTCTTGTCCGCCGCTTGTATATATATTTATATATGTACTAATTTACATTATATTGACTACATGCCTATATGCATATATAGATATGTCTGAAGCTGTGTTACAATCCATACATAAGCATATGTACTAATCCTATTT